CAGCCTAGTGACCACGACTGGGAAAAGATCGAGTCCAACCAGTTGCCTGCCTGAAGCTCTCATGCAATTGAAAACTTACATCCATTATGTTTCCACTGTGGGTAAGTGCACAGTAGAGGGCTACATCTCATGAATCCACAACAGTTGTTGTTTAGCAGCATGTTAGGGAGAAGCAGGACGTGGTGCTGATCTTATAGCCATGACAGCAGCATTTATTCTGCTCTCCTCACCCACTTGTTCTTTGTAGATGTAAAGGCACCTGCTTTAAAGCATCTTTTTGTTCTTTCAGCACGTCAATAGTATTTTGCAAAGTTCTCTCCACTCAGTTAATAGCCTGGCATATCTGGGAGCTAATGGTCTTTTCCACAGTTTTTTAGCTATCATAACCTTTTTCACAATTTCCATTCCAAAGTTATTGCTGGGAGGTTGCATTTTGTAGCACTAGTGCAGCCTAACCACGTAATGGGCATTTACCTGCTGATGTGACCCCATGATGCGGCAGTAATGTGTCAGAATTTGCCACTTCTTCAGCTGCATCTTTGGAATGCTGTGATGTGTGCTGATTTTTATTATTTCACACCATATGCATAAATTGATATATCATGAACATTTTATACTGCACTATTTCACCTTTACAAGATTCAATTTCACATAAAACATGACTACATTATAAAGACTTTTGAGTACAATAAAACTGACTTCAAACCTTGCTTCTACCTCTGTGTCACTTAACAAGTCACTTCACTCTTAGAGCATCAATGTTCCATCGTGCAGAATGGAAAGACTAAGCCCTACTGCACTGGACCATTATGGGGGGGTGGGAGGCTCTCTGGAAAAGGTGACAACAGGAGCAAAAGCCTAAGGACCTGGAAGTAATTGGCTGTGGCAGGAGCAGGGATGGCAAATGAGGAGGAAAGGAGTCTGCAAAGGGAGGAGGAGCCAGATAATGTGAACCTTGAAGGCCACACTAAGGAAAGCCATGGAAGGTTTAAATAGGTTCAATAAGGATAGAGTTGTAGGAATGCAGTCTCCACGAAGACTCACTCACCAGGGGAGGGTAGCTGTCTTAACTCCCTCACATCCTCAGTCGTCCTCAGTATCATAAGTCTCTTCCTGGGTGCTGGGACACGTCCTGACTCTAAGCAAGGGCCCAAGGATGTTCGTAGACCTTACCGCAGCCACCTCTGCCCAGAGGATTCTGGGAGGCTTTGGGGGAATAGAAATAGACACTGGGATGAGTCAGAAGACCAGGTTTGAGGCCACACTTTCCTAGACTCCGGCCATGAGATTTTGGGCACGTTACCCTTCTTCTCTGAGCCCCAAGTTGATCCTCTGTGAAATGAAGACAATTGTATCTGTCTGGCAAGATGCCTGCAAACATAAAATGATACAATGTGTATATCATAAACTGCACAATTATTGGCTCAGGAAAGATCTCAACAAACAGTCTGCATTTGTTTTTCACACTGAAGAAGAAAAAACATCAAGACTTAAAGAGATCTAAAGATGATCCTATCCAGCCTTGCTGTAGAGATGAGAATACCGTAGGATAGGACTTGAAGACAGAGTGGGAACTGGCATCTGGGATTCCAGACTTCCCATCTCGTACTCACTACTATCCTTTCTCTGGCTGTGCTGCTCTCTGCAGCCATCACACTTGTCCCTGCATCCACCTTTATTTTCTCTGCTCTCCTTTTTTGGAAATGTTCTTAACTCATCTATCCAACTTCTGTCCAACTCCTGCCTACTCTTTAGACCAGCTCAAGGATGTCTTCTCCAGTCATCCCAAGGCTAATGAGATCTTACTCCTGTGAATCTTTGGCATCTATGTATGTATCACGACACAGAGGAAAAAGCATGGACTTCGGAGCCCAACAGACATGGGTCCACATCTCTGCTTAGTAACTATTTTGTTTTGTGACTAGGAGCAAAGGTCTATATCTCTCTGGCTCCAGTCTTCTCATCTGTAGAATGGGGATAACAATATCTACATCACAGGACATTATGAGATTACATGAAATAACATGGACTTCTGGGGGTATGTCTTAGTCTGTTTGTGCTGCTATAACAAAATATCAAAGATTGGGTTATTTATAAAAACCAGAAATTTATTTCTTACAGCTTTGGAGGCTGGGAAGTCCAAGATCAAGGTGCCAAATCATTTGGTATCTAGTGAGGACCTTTTTGCTGCATCCTCATGTGGCAGAAGGGACAAATGCTGTGTCTTTACATGGTGGAAGAGCAGAAGGGAAAAAATGGCCAAGCTACTTCCCTTCAACCCTTTAATAAGGGCATTAATCCCACTTGTAAGGGAAGAGACCTCAAGACCTAATCACCTCCAAAAAGACCCCATCTTTTAATACTGTCACCTTGGAGCTTAAGTTCTAATACATAAATTTTGATACATTCATGTCATAGCGAAGTACATTGATGATAGTGCATAATGCATAGATGATTTTTTAAAAATTTTTTAAAAAAAATTTTAGTTTTACAATTTTTAAAATTTATTTTTATTTATTCTTGTCAGCAATTTATAAAGGCTTTCCATTTATAAATAAAATTTTCCTTTTAAAGTAAATGTATTAACCTTTTAAAAAGCAAATTGGCTTGTGAAAAATTTCCCATGGACAGCTTTAAAATTTTCTTTTTGCAATTCTGTCGAATTAACTTTATATATTTTGAGACCATGTTATTATGCACATACAAGTTTAGAGTTGTTGGAACTCCCAGATGAAACAAACCCTTTTTATAATTGGGAAGTAAATCAAGCCCTCTTTTAATAAGACAAAAAAAATTAAGTTGACTCAAAAATATGTATTAAGAAATAATAGTAGAGGCAATATGCTAGTGACTGAAATTTGAAGAATCTTGAGGGGATGGTGTATGGATAGCACCAGCCCTGGTACTGGCAGCAACGACAAACATCATGGCTTCCACCATTGTTATTCCTCTCACCAGTAGGATTGTCTCCACAAGGAACGACTCAGCTGGCCCCACTGGCTCCCTCAGAAAGGTTTTCTGGAAACTCTAAAGGGAAAGAATTTTATCATAAGAAAGTAAAAGAGGCGGCTTCTGAATATTAGTTGAAGGGATAACAAATAACAAGAGATACAGTCTAGACAGATGGTCACTATATAGTCGGGATCCCTCCGCTGGCCCAGATTCCTTCTCTCTAAACTGGTGGTGCTCTTGCATGCACACACACATGCACACACACACACACACACACACACAC